TTTTTAAAGTTTTATTTTAATTTTAACAATATAATATGTTAAAAACATTAGAAGCAATAGAAAATTTCATTACACAAAGTAATAGGAATTTGACAATGCTTGTTATATTGCATAATGTTATCTTTAGATTAGTTATTTAGGTTGTCCTATAAAACCTGAAAAATTGGTTAAAAAAAGTTATAAGAAATTAAAAAGTAGAAATTTATTCATTAACTGATCCTTTCAGTAGACCAGCTGAAATCAGCAGTACAATTATACACATTATCCTGCATGTATACATGGATATATCTTTCCCCCTTCTTTCTTTTGTTCTTTTCCTCATCTCAGTTTTTCATTTCCATTGAACAGATTCTTTCCCTTTCATGGTATCTATTGCATCTTTCAGATTTTATTTACTCTTTCAGGTTTTCACACTAGTGAGATAATAGGATGTTTGCACATGAAGAGCTTATTTATTCCACTTACCAATACAGTCTCTAGTTGCATCCATTTACCTATAAAAGCTTTGACTTCATCTTTTTTATAGCTGAATAATACTCCATTGTGTAAAATACCACGTCTTTTTTATCCATTTCTCAGGTAATGGGTATTTGGATTGTTTCCAGGATTTAGCTGACAAATTGTGCTGCTGTAAACATGGGTGCACATATATCACTGTTTTCAGTGATGATGTTTTCAGTTCTTTTGGAAAAATATATAGGAGGGGAATAACTAGCTTGAATGGGACCTACAATCCTAGCTTTTTAAGTAGTCTCCACACTGATTTCCAGAGTGGTTGTACCAGCCTGCGCTCCCACCAACAGTGGAGAAGGGTTCCTTTTTCCTCACAGCCTCTCTAACATTTGTTATTGTCTAACTTTTTTTTTTATTTTTTGGTGGAACCGGGGATTGAACTCAGGCCCTTGTGCTTGCCAGTAAGTGCATATTCCACTGAGCCATCTCCCTGGCCCTTGTCTAACTTCTTGATGATAGCAACACTAACCTATTTTTGCCTTTTGTCCATCATCTCTGAGCACTGAGAGGTAAACAAATCAATATATAAGTAATTAAGCAAAAAGTTATATTAAAATAAGAAACTTGCTTAGCCCTTTATAACTCTGTAATTCTTGTTATAATAACACCAACCTATTTTTTATTTTCTAAAGAATACAAAATGTTCAAAACATTAGAAACAGTAGAAAATTTCATTACGCAAAGTAATAGGAATTTGACAAAGCTTGTTATATTGTATAATGTTATCTTCAATATTATAAGCTTTCATATAGATATGAAAGCTTAACAAAGGGAATGGAAAGAATAAAATGGGTAGAAGAAGTGATGGGATTTATTAATTGTGTACGTATGGTAGGAGAAAGCAAGAAGCTAAAGGAGTGTCATGACTGTCTCTGAGGTAGGCATGCCCTTATGCTTTCACACCAAATGGGGTGGAGAGGGGCTTAAGAGCTTTGACAAACTTGGAAGTGGTTTAGATAGACCACTTTGGAATTTGGTGAGAGAGATGTTCCCAGAGTGTTGGAGATAGACTACTAAAACAATGTTAAAGGCTCAGTTGAAGTTGGAAATGATTTGTAGCAAGAAGGTGTTTCATTTTTCTATGACTGCACTTAGAGTGCAGAATTGCAGAATGTATGATTTTTATAAAGGTTTTAGTAAGTATGAATGATAGAAGGACATATGGAAGGGAATGGCAAATATTGTCAAGAGTGTTTGAAGTGATAGATCATAGTAGGTAGGGAGATAGGACATTCCTGATAAACTAGGAGAAAAAGAAGGGAATAAGTGATAGGAGTTGATAGGATGTCAAGTATTAAAATTTAGTCATGTGGATGATTTGAGGCTATTACAGACAAGGTCTATGGTTACATGGGAGAGTACTGTGGAGACCAAAGCTATAGGAGCTGGTAGCATCAAGGAATTAAGAGCCTAGGGTGTAAGTTTAGTCACACTTACATGCTATAAAATGCAGGGGAGGATGACAGGACTTGGAGTGGTGAGGAAAATTGATCTAGATACCAAAATCTTGAGTGATAAGTATGGTGACAATGAACTGGAAGGAAAAGGACAGTATTACTGAATGACATAAGCCACGGACAAGAGAAAAGAGTTGTAATAATCTGAAGCCAGCACTCAAGATGAGGATGCTGAGGTATGAGGCATGCAGAGGGAGATGAGAGGGCTTCTTGGGAAACCTTAGGAAAAAGCCTGTTTTCGATACAGCCAGCAACAGGTCTCAGCATGCTTTGGATTTAAGGCTCTATGTGAATCTATTGCAGAATGTCGTTCTATGCCCAGGACCCTTGCTTCATCCTACTCTATGTACCTTTTAAAAACTTAACTCACAACTCTCTTCTCTGGTATGCCTTCTCTGGTGCATTTAATACACACACACACACACACACACACACACACACACACGTCACTTTTAATTATCTTTTACTTACTTAATATTTTGAGTAATGTATCTCATTATATATCTGTATGTTTATTTAATTTTTTAGAATGATCAGGTTCTTCAGGGCTTCTCGGTGGACAATGTGAAAAATAATATATCAATACATACAGTCTATGAATATGTTTATTGCAAATACTTAAAATTCTTATGTAAAATGATTTTTTTAATATTTTTGTGAAAAAAATGTCTTATTAAATGTTGACACCAACTTCTCTGTACACACTATATTTTACTTATTTAATTTTCCTTTAAAATTTTGAACCTAAGAGAAAATTGAATCTTTTGGTCTTTATGTTGTTACTCAGCACATTTGATACATAGAAGCTGAATGTCCGTAGAAATAAATGTAAGAAGATAAATTATAATGTATATCTTAAAAGTTAATGATAAAAAGTAATGATAAAGCCCCCCCAAAGAATTCAATTCTTAGTTAATGTACTTGAGATGCAAGATACAGTGAAACAAGCATTGAGTTGTTCAGTTACTTGTATTAAGTGGTTAGCTCCTTAGATGACAAGTCACATTTTTAAAAATTTTACTGTAAGCTTCAGTAATTAAATGAGAGATTTTGTTTCCTTGTGATGTATTTTAAAAATGTCTTTGTATGGTTCATTAGTTTTTATGAAATGTGAAAATTATTTTTTTTTTGTTTGTAAGTATGTGCATTATTTATCTGTATGTTTATTTCATCTTTCAGAATGATCAGGTTCTTCAAGGCTTCTCAGTGGACAAAGGAGAGTTCACCTGTCCTCTCTGTAGGCAGTTTGCTAACAGTGTTCTTCCTTGTTATCCTGGGAGCAATGTGGAAAATAACCTTTGGCAACGTGCTAATAACAGAAGCATAAAAGATCTCATAAAGGAGGTGGAGGAGCTGCAGGGACGGCCCGGAGCTTTCCCAGTAAGCATCAGTATAAGGCAGAAATATCCTGGCTAACTCACTTTGCTTTTCAGCTTTTCATTTTCATTCCGTATCTAAATTCTCTAGACCTACATTGAATATAAATTGCTTTTAAAGGTCTCTTCTGATTTTGAATATTAAAAAAAAAATGAAAATAGAAGAAACTGTTATCAGACACTACATGTGTTAGTTGCTAGGACAGAACACCTGTCACCTGAAACTTAAAGACTCTTATTTTAGAAGTTTTTGCCTTTGTGTGGTCAGTCAGGGTTGCGTGGCAGGGGAGAGCTGCTTAGGGTGTTGCAGACAGGCAGCAGAGAGACTGAAAGGAGGAGCTGGGAAGGAGTTACGCCCTTGTAGGTCTTGCTCCCAGTGACTGTCTCTTGTGATAAGACCTCAGGCCCTCATAGAAAGTCAGCTCTAAGCCCTATGATGCACTCACCTTCCAAAACCCTTGCCTGTGAAAACATGAGGTTCTTGGGGAACCTCGAGGCATGAACTATAGCACTATACTTTTCCTTAATGAAAATCGTTATAGTTTTAATACACATCATGAAATATACATTTAATATAGATTATGAAATCCTGTAAGTTTATTATTGTTAGGGCAAGATGAAATATTTAAGAGCAAATCCAAACAAACTTGTGTATCTAGACAAATAGCCTAGTGATGGGAAAATGTTCTAAAAATTTTGTCAGTAGGTGATTTCATCAGTGTGTGAGCATCATAGTGAGTACTTAACACAACCTAGGAGAGTTACTAGGTGCTAAAATCTTAAGGGACCACCTTGGTGTAAGTGACCTGTTGCTGACTAAATGCAGTGCATAAGTCTAAATTGAAGGGTAAAGCACAGTGTCATCATTTAAAAGATACTCTGATTAGGTGCATTAAAATTATGGTGATAGATTTACACCTACACATGTTTGTATATTTGCTGTGTGTGTATTATAGAAAAAATATTGTGTGGCCATTCACCATAAGTCATTCTACTTTACTAGAAGGTTGGTGTAAGTGAATATCTTTTTCATCTCACCTAGTAGGATTCATTTGGGTCTCTTTTTCATAATAATTCCCTAAGAGAAGTGACAGTGGTGCCTCCTTAATGTAGTAAATTATTAAAAACCATGAATATTTGACATTTGAAACAGAAAATCATACATTAAACTGCTCAAAAGATTCATCCTCTGGCAATTTGCATTCCCAATTAAAGACTAGTTTAGAATCTGATTTTTTTTCTTTTTGTAAATTCTAATTTTTAAATATATGTATATTCTTTATTTATTTATTTGGTATAGGGTTTTGCTACACAGTTCAGACTCATAGTGATCCTTCTGTCTCAGTGGTGAGATTACAGGTGTGTGCTACCACACCTAGTGTTGGTGGTAAGCACGGTGCGCTCAAGGTTATGGGGCTGTTATGGCATGTGGTACTGGGGATTGAACCTGGATCCTTGTGCTTGCTAGGTAGGCCCTTAGACCGCTGAGCTATCTCCCCAGCCCTGTAAATTATGATTTTTATGTGCTTAAAATGTGTTACATATATCAGCTCCACACAAATTAAAATTATGGTGATAGATTTACACCTACAAAGAATATAAACATAGTATACTGCTGTGCTCACTTTGGCAGCACATATACTAAAATTGTGTCTGACAAACATACACTAATAAAACAAATTTTTACAAATTCACTTTCAGATAATATGTTTAATATAAGGGACATTGATATTCTTTAAAAATGAATTTAAATGAATGTTTTTTATAAACATGAAAACTTTGTTATGAAATATTTTTTTAATAACATTTGCTGGCTTAGAAGGTAGTATGTGGTTAATTTATAGCTGGATCTTAGTATTGTCAATCATAATGTAGAATTAGAATAAAAAATGATAAAGTATTTTTTCATTGGTTTAATCTTTGTGAACTAAATGTTCTTATAGTTAAGGTTACATTTATTTTAAGTTTAACCTCTTACTGTATTCACATGATAAATATTTTAGGCTGTTATTAAAGAAAGTGAATATAAATTTTATATGTATGTTTGCCTTTTTTTATAGTCAGAAACCAACTTAAGTAAGGAAATGGAATCTGTAATGAAAGATATAAAAAATACAACTCAGAAGAAATATAGAGACTATAGCAAGACTCCAGGCTCACCAGACAATGATTTTCTTTTTATGTATTCTGTTGCTAGGTAGGTATATGAAATATGTACTTTTGTATTTACTTACTACTAATTGTTAAGTTTACAGTACAGTGAATCTTTTATTACTATTTAAAGAAGGGATATGTATATATATATATATATATATATATATTTAATATTGGTTAAATTATGGTTTTAGAATCTCTTAGGACTATAAATTTGTATTTTTCCATATTTCTTGAATTTTTAAATTTTAATGGAATATTTGGCATTATAGAACACTAGGAGAAAAGTATGTTAATATTTTGGGATCGATATGTATTTCAAAAAATAGTATTACATATGAATACTATGAATACTATGAAGTCCTGTCAAAAAGTAATGTGTTAAAGAGTTTATGGAAGAATAGGAACAGTAAGAAGTAGAACTCACATTCTTTGTTTGCTTTAATCTAGTGAGACATATGATAATATCCTGGGAGATGACAAGTATCCTGGAAACCAATTAAAAAAGAAAGCAAAAGATCAGACTTGGAAAGATCAGGTTCTAAGTCTCTATTTGAAGTGAGTTAGGGACTCAAGAAAACACTCTGGGTTTTTTATCTCTCAGATTAGTAAAGATTAGCCTGAGTAGGTATTCAGCATAGAGAATAGATTTAAGTGGGAATTTTAGAGAATTTAGTTGAGTGAAAATAAAATCATAAAAGAAACTAAATAGGGAGAAACAGACAAGGGTGTTGTAGGCCCTTGGGTATCTTTGGAAGCAAACTTCCTGTTTTGTCCAAATAGCATTGTAATGGGTAAGGGAGAGTGAGATGGTATGTTTTGCAGTGAGATAATGGTGGAATAGGATGAAAACTCAGATTTCTTGAGTCAAGGTTTAGTTTTTTTTTTTTTTTTTTTTAAAACTTTTTTTTTTTTTTTTTTTCTCTGTGTACAGCTTTTACATGTCATGTTATGCATGCAAGACATTCTTTCTGCCCCATTCTGGGGAGCAGAGACTAACAAAAGAGTAAATAGAACCAGGGAAAATGAACCCAACTTAGAAAACTTGCAGCAAGCAAGTTAGAACACAAGATAAGAATCGTAGTCTTTAAACTGAGTATGCAGTACCAGATAGGGGTTGATCTAAAAGGATCTAATGGATTAGAAAGTAATTTACTAATTTGCACATTTCTAGACTTTTGTTTCTCCAGAATGCTTTTGGGGAAGATAGATTAGTTCCTGTTTTGGTTCAAGATAGTTACAAGTTATTGCATACTTGTAACAAGATGATACTTATATAAAAATCAAACTGAATATAATTTAACTTCACTAAATTTCCAGGATTATACAAAGTTTCTCTTGTCATTGTCATCATAACATCATAGAAGATTGGTTGAATATAGACCAACTCAATTATGCTTAACACATACCTCTATATTATATACACACATTTGTGTTGTTCATGTATCTATGCCTTTGCATTAGTAGAATTGACCTTTTTAAGAAAATTCTGATTGAATGAAAATGATCTATACTTGGAATTTTCCTATGTAATGATAATTTTATTTAAATACGACTTAGTTTGAAATTTTGTTGCCTTAGCCATAAAGAACATACAAAATAGTGCTTGTGATGCTATGTGAGACTTCTTAAATCAACATATTTTGGTTTTTCTACTTTATAGAGAAGTGGGATAGATGGCATATGCTTGTTTTCTTTTTTCTTTTTCTTTTTCTTTTTTTTTTTGGTGGAACTGGGGATTGAACTCAGACCTTTGAGCTTGCCAGGCAAGTGCTTATTCTACTGAACCATCTCCCTGGCCCCCAGCATATGCTTTTTCTAAGAGTACAGGTCAGAGAAACACAAACTATATATTAACCTCTATGCTTCTCTGATTGCTAGTGATGAACTCCAAAGCAGCATGACAATGATTGTGAAACAGTCCTGCTTATCCATTGGTAGGAATTATCTAGGTCGTTGCAGTGTTTTCACAGTGAGATTGCAGTGCCCTCTCTGAAGTTTTACTTGATCATTACAATGAAAAGAGGCAACAAACAAATTGATTAAAAAATGAACAAAACATAAAGCAAAAATATATATGGTATCTTATTTAGATAAGATATAATTGTCTTGACAGAAGATATAAAATTTAATTATCTTATGCCTAACATTCTTCATAAATATTGCTTCATTAATATTTATTACTACAGAAAAATGTCTTCCTAAAAGAAGGGCATTAAAATTGTAGCAGTATTTCAGTATTTAAGTAAAATATTTAGCAACACATTTACTTTGAATTATTTGATTTTTGAATTAAATGTAATTCTTAAATGTATAATCCATCGAGATTTTTAGATTTATTTGTATTAGTATTTTGTAATTTGGATGGAATAAAATTCTTGTTTCACAGCTAATTTTCTCCCCATGGAGTATGTAAATTTGTTTATTATTCAGAAAGCTTTTTTTTATGAGCAGAATATATTTATTGAGAGAAAGAAAGCTCCTGTCCAAGAGAGGGACGAGTGGGGGGCCCGAGTGGATAGTTCCCTGCTTAGCTTTTTGATGTTTGGAAACAAGATATTTTTGGCGTCTAGCCAGCCTGGAAATCTGTTTTTTGAGATTGCATTCTTTTTTTAAGAAGGGCAGTAAATGTCTGTTTACATGAAGAAGATTTGGAAGATTCTCTTCCCCTCCCCTCCCCTCCCCTCCCCTCTCCCTTCCCTTCCCGTCCTCTCTCCCTTCCTCTCCCCTCTCTATGTATTTGGTACACTCTTACTACACAGCTTGAACTCTAGTGATTCTCCTGTTTTCAGTCTCCCCAGTGCTGGGATTATAGGTGTGCGCCACCACACCCCATCTCCTGTCACCAGCACAGTGCACCTTGGGGTGGGGCTGGCACTGCATGTGGTACCCATGCTTGAACCTGGTCCCTATGCTTGCCTAAGCAGGTGCTTAGTCTGTTGAGCTATCTTGCCGGCCCTTTTGGAAGATTTTTCTGAGGGTAACAGAGAAGTAATTGCTGAAATGTCTTTGTAAAACTAAATTAATTTAAAACTTAATCAGAATCACTTTATTCAAATTTTAATGTCTTTCCAAAATGTCCATTCTGTTGCAAATATGTCATTCAAATGGATTATGAAAAGATAATTCTAGGGGACAAAGTTTTTCTCACTTCAATACCAATTTGTTGTTTAATTATTTAAACAAAGAATGATATGAATTTCAGCAATTGATTTTCCCAAGGATTTTTGACCCAAGGTATGTATTGCATAGAGATATTGTTGAGTAGCATTTGGTCTGTATTTTGTGAGAAAAAAATGGAACTAGAAAGATGGCACATGAGCATGTGAGATATAGATGGATTGGCATCTTTAAATCAGGAGTGGATATAGTACTTAGTAAATCTATCTGGTGTCACCAGTTAGTTGTATGGAAACTCTAAACTTTGTAAGCAAATTATTTTCAAAATAAAAGGAATGTTTGCTATCTTTTTAAAAAATAAACTTTTCTAAACTCTCTTTTTTGGGGGATCACTGTTGGGTTTAAGGAATATAAAGCTCAGCAAAAGAAAGATGATAAACCACCAGGGCTAAAGAGAAACTTATACTGAGGTCGATGTCAAAGCAAAAAAGCTATTATCCTGTAACTTTTTAAAAGCACTTTGCTAAGTACTGTTGGGAATTTAGAAAGTATAAATGAAATAGTTCCTATTTTTGAGAAATTTATGATTTAGTGGGAGATAGAAAACTAGTAACACCGTGTAAAGCAGAATATAATGTTTTTAAAATTGTCATTGATAAAAATTATAGAACTCCAGCAAACTGAAATATAAAATGTGTGCAAGTGCTGCTTTCCCATCTCAGGCATTCCTGGAAAACTCAGAGTTTCAGTTGCAACTTTCCTGTAACGTAGGCAGTGCTGTGGATGAAAGGATGAAAGTAGGCCCCCTCCTGCCCTGAAATCAAGCATCTTGTTTAGCTTGTGTAATGGTATGTTCAGGCTTTGGACCTAGATCTGTTTTCACAGACTTTGCCCTTTTCACTGGTTCAGTGTGAGTCTGAGAGAGCTAAAAAGAGAGGTAGGAGGAAGGGAACAACATTTGATTTTCATGTGATAACTAAAAATAGCATTGCTGGAGAGGATAAAAGATAGACGTTAGTCATGCAAAGGAATTGAGAGTGCAGTTAGAGGAATTTTATGAGGATATACAATATAGTTAGCCACTATGATAAACTTTTTAGCATTTTTTTCTCATTTTTTCAACTTAGAGAAATTTTTCTTTTTAAAAAATTTAGTTGATTAAGTAATTGGTACAGGATCTTGCTACGCAGCTTGGATGCATAGTGATTCTCCTGTCTCAGCCTCCCTGGTGCTGAGATTACAGATATGTGCCACCATGCCTGGTTTTGGTAGCTGCCCAGGGTTCGTCAAACTCAGGTCCTTGCACTTGTCAGTTAGGCACATTAGAGTGCAGAGTGAGCTCCCCAGTCTCCTCTTCTATGTTCCAGTCAGTCTCTC